CCTCCCAAAGTGCTGGGATTATAGGCGTCAACCACCTCGCCCGGCCCGAAACATAGCTTTTGAGTTTCCTAATGCAAGTCCAATCGTTTAAAATATATTAGCAGTTAAAAAATTAATCAAGAAGTTATTTATTGGCTGCCCATATAAAAAGAAAATACAAGTTACAATATCTGAAAATTTTATCTACTTGAGGAGATATCGAATAATGACAATGCTTAGTAAAGATAAACTTGTTTAAATTGATTAAGCCCTTGAAACTAGGCATAAAATTTAGGTTTCATGAGGCAAGCAATAAAATCAATTATAAGTTGTGTTTTTATTTTTATTATTATTATTATTTTTTTGCTACAGGTTCTTGCTCTATCACCCAGGCTGGAAGACAGTGGTATAATCATAGCTCACAGCAATCTCCAACTCCCAAACTCTCATGCTCAAGTGGTTCCCCTGTTCACCCTCCTGAGTAGCTGGAACTAACTGTGTTTTTGTTTTTCTTTTTTTTTTTTTCCCATTTATTTATTTTATTGCATTTTAGGTTTTGGGGTACATGTGAAGAACATGCAAAATTGTTGCATAGGAACACACGTGGCAGTGTGATTTGCTGCCTTCCTCCCCATCACCTACATCTGGCATTTCTCCCCTTGCTATCTCTCCCCAGCTTCCCACCCCCCACCGTCCCTCCCCTATTTCCCCCCAACTGACCCCAGTGTGTAGTGCTCCCCTCCCTGTGTCCATGTGTTCTCATTGTTTAACACCCGCCAATGAGTGAGAACATGCGGTGTTTGATCTTCTGCTCTTCTGTCAGTTTGCTGAGAATGATGGTTTCCAGGTTCATCCATGAAACTGATAAGCAAGTTCAGCAAAGTCTCAGGATACAAAATCAATGTGCAAAAATCACATGCATTCCTATACACCAGTAACAGACTTAAAGAGAGCCAAATCAAGAACAAACTTCCATTCACAATTGCCACAAAGAGAATAAAATACCTAGGAATACAACTAACAAGGAATGTAAAGGACCTCTTCAAGGAGAACTACAAGCCACTGCTCAACGAAATAAGAGAGGACACAAACAGATGGAGAAACATCCCATGTTCATGGTTAGGAAGAATCAATATCGTGAAAATGTCCATACTGCCCAAAGTAATTTACAGATTCAATGCTATCCCCATCAAGCTACCAATGACCTTCTTTGCAGAACTGGAAAAAACCACCTTAAACTTCATATGGAACCAAAAGAGAGCCCGCATAGCCAAGTCAATTCTAAGCAAAAAGAACAAAGCGGGGGGCATCACACTACCAGACTTCAAACTATACTACAAGGCTACAGTAATCAAAACAGCATGGTACTGGTACCAAAACAGAGATATAGACCAATGGAACAGAACAGAGGTCTCGGAGGCAACACAACATATCTACAACCACCTGATCTTTGACAAACCAGACAAAAACAAGCAATGGGGAAAGGATTCCCTGTTCAATAAATGGTGTTGGGAAAGCTGGCTAGCCATGTGCAGAAAGCAGAAACTGGACCCCTTCCTGACACCTTACACTAAAATTGTTTTTCTTTTGTAGGGTCCTATATGTCGCCCAGGATGTTCTAAAACTCTTGGCCTCAGGAGATCCTCTGCTTCGGTCTCCTAAAGTGTTGAGAGTACAGGCATAAGCCATCATGCTGGCCAATTTTAGGTCTTAATCAAGCGTTTAAGTATGATAAGCTCAGGATTTAGAAAAAATGAATCTCATTCCATTATAAGAAAACATTGAATGAGATGGCTGAAGACTGGGGTATCAGCTGAGAGGCTGTTGCTATAACTCAGTGTGAGCTCTATGGTAGACATGTGGATATAGAGAGATGTAAATAGAAGATATTTAGCAGAAAATATTGATGAGACTAAGTATAGGCAAAGAAGAAGTCAAATTCAAAATTTCAAGCTGATCTGACTGAAAAAATGGTGGGATAACCTTGAACAATTAAGGGAAGTTGGAGAGGAGCTTGGAAAATTTGATGACTTGTTTTAATCTCATTAAATTGGAAATGACAGTAGAGAATCAAAATATGCAATGAAAATATTTTTAAAAACTCAGCAGGCCATGTAGAAGTGTGAATGATAATGCAGAGCTAGATATATATTTTTGAACATAACCAACAATGTGGCAGTAATTGAATTTATGCTAGGGGAGCTTGCTGGCAGAGTATGTTGAGATGGAAGATCAGAGTCACACTGATCTCTACAAATTGAAAATGAGAGTAGGAAAATAAGCTGTATGAGAATAAATTAAAGAAATTCAGAGAAGGAAGAAGAAACCAGATTAAAGTAGGAGATGCAGAGAGTAGAGAGGGTTTCCAGAAAGAGATACAGCTATGGCTACGATATGCAGGAATCTACGCCTATTATCAGCTCAGGAGAGTGGATTCTTAAGTTTTCAGGAATTTTATGCATCAGTTTTTAAACACAGCAATTAAATAAATGAAATTATATAAACTTCCAAGTAAATAAAATATGTTAACAACTAAATTAATAAATACTAAAAATCTCATCAATTTCTAATTATTTTACTACCTCTTACTATTACCCATACTCCTTAGTTTATTTATATATGTTATTTATGATGTGGAAATACAAGATAATGATGTTTAATTTCACATCTCTTTCTAATTTGGTATACGATGAAGTCACATTGGGAACTTGAAATTAGTAGTGGTGAGAATATTTGCACCGTGAAAATGGCACATGCTAAAAATCAGTGTCGATTTATGATGATGTTGATTATCTAAGTGAAGAGGGGACAAACTGTAGCCCTTGGGCAATATCCAGCTCATTGTGTGCTTTTGTACATAAAGTTTTATTGGAAGACAGACACGCTCATTCATTTAAATTGTCCATAGATGTTTTTAGATTACAAAGACAGAAAGAAGTAATTGTAGCAGAGACTACCTAGCCCATAAAGCCTGTTTACTATCTGACTCTAGAACAATTTCTCTACTTTTGACCTCATGTAAGAAAGTGCCAGGAAACATATTAACAATGCAGATTAAACTTTAAAAATGTGCTGCATGTACAGTTGTTATATTGTGAAGACCCTAAAATTTGAGAAAAAAATTTTTTAGCACTTGAAAACTATTACCTGATTCAGCAAATGTTGCTGTTACCACTGACAGATGTGTAAACCTCAAACATATCTTTGTTTTATTTTTATTGTATTCAATAACATAAATAAAAATGTCAACTGATACCTACCTTAGAAATAAATCCATTTGTCAATTTCAAATATAGATTGACTATGGTTATAAGAGTTTAGAAAGAATCAACAAAAATATTCTGTGAGAACTAATTGGCTACATGAAATTTTCAGTAAAGAATATGATATATTTTATTACTATTTGTAAATCATATAACACATACCCTTCATGTCAGTAAGTTTAGGATAAACTTAATTACATATGTACATATGTTTCTTTTTATTTAGGGAGTAGGTTGTTAACCAGCACACTATTGCACAACAGTTTCAGAACTAATGAAGTTTTGAGAGAATGGAAAAGGTTGTTACATTTAATAAGAATAATGGGAAAGGTTGTTACATTTAATAAGAACTAGAATGCTTGTCATCTGGAAAACTATCAGTCAGTTAAAAAATTCTCAGAGCAATTAACTCACATTTTTAGTCTATTTTTCTTTCATTCATTTAATAGATGTTTAATCGATTACTTGCTATATTAGGCCATTCTCACATTGCTATAAAGAAATACTCCAGGTGAGTAATTTATAAAGAAAAGAGGCTGGGCTCATGGTTCTGCAAGTTGTAAAGGAAGTATCTCAACTTCTGCTTCTGGGGATACCTCAGGAGGCTTCCAATCATGGTGGAAGGCAAGTGGAGAGCAAGACCTCTCACATGGAGGGAGAAGAAACAAGAGTGAGGGTGGATGTGACACAGACTTTTAAACTGCCAGATTTTGTGAGAACTCACAATCATGAGAACAGCACCAAGTAGATGGTGCTACAGCATGCATGAGAAAGGCCTTCACGATCCAATCGCCTCCCACCAGGCTCCACCTTCAACACGAGGGAGTAGAATTTGATATGAGATTTGGGCAGGGACACAGATCCAGACCATGTTACTTGCTATTTTCTAAACATGTTGCTAAGTGATAAATACACTTTGAAGAATTAAGTAGAGACATAGGTTGTATTTTAGAGTTTATAATTTGTTGTAGAATGCCAATGATACAGGACTAAATACAGAAATAAATATACAGTTACAAAATTATATGAATAGACTATAGAGTCAGTGGATAACAGGGCTGAGGTGGAATTGACTTTTTGACTGGTCAGTGTATCTGGGAATGCTTCTCTGAGGAAGTGCTGTTTCAGCTGCGGCAGTGCCTCGGGCTGGGGGTATTGTGTCTGGCCAAAGGAAAAGCCTGTACAAACATCCTGAGGATCTAAAGTTTTTTTAAACATTTATTCTCTTGCAATAATAAGGTAACCACTTTCAATTGCTTCATTAATTGCAAAGAAATTTTATACATGATTTAGGATATGGGCAGTTACTTTCCTCTAAAAACATCAAAGTTCATCATATGTGGAAGTTAATTTCCCAAGTTTCCTTGTAAAACTAGTGTGGCATTCTCTGTATGTTTACATATGACCTTCATTAACGCTAAGAATTTCTTCATTTAGATTTTGGCTTTATGGAACACTAATATTGGGTTTCCCAATACTTTATGTCAAAGAGGATAATTCTTTTTCTTTCCTCAATTATGTGTGTCTGAATCTCTAAGTGATACTTACGCTCAGCAGGCATTTACACTCTTACCCAGTTTGAATTTTTTTTCCTTAATTCATCAGACCTTAAGAGCCAGCATATGGCCTGTTTCTTAGTGTTTTAAAAACACTGGGTAAGTTTAGGATTATTGTGGAAATGTACCTTGTGAGAAAAGATTAATTACACTTTCTCATTTTCTTTTATTCTTGTTACATTATTATGACTTTTTTAACAAAGGGTTAAGTCAGGTATAAGAAATTGTTCAAATGATAAAGATTAGAGCTAAACATTGCGAATATTTTGAAGTGTCAACTGAAATCTCCTCGCTGTCACTTCTCCCCTTTCTTGCCTGCTTTCATTCCCCCACATTTAAACTTCTTTCATTTTCTTTTCTTGGGCCTTGAAACCCTTCTCTCCAGTGCAGGCATCTAGAAATAAGTCATGGGATGTGTAAAAGGAAAATATTTTGGGCCCCCAAATCACTAAGCTACAGGGAAAAGTCAAGCTGGAAACTGCTTAGGGTAAACCTGCCTCTCGTTCTATTCAAAGTCATCCCTCTGCTCACGGAGATTAATGCATATCTGACTGCCTCCTTTGGAGAGGCTAATCAGAAACTCATAAGAATGCAACCATTTATGTCTTCTCTACCTATGACCTGGAAGCCCCCTCCCCGAGTCTTCCCAGTCTTTACTTCGAGTTGTCCTGCCTTTCCAGACCAAACCAATGTTCATCTTGCATATGGTGATTGGTGTCTCACGTCTCCCTAGAATGTATACAACCAAACTGTGCTGTGACCCCTTTGTCATTATGTGGCACATGTCGGCATGACCTTTCTGAGTCTGTGTCACAGGTGTGCATCTTCAACTTTGGCAAAATAGACTTTCTAAAGTAACTGAGACTTGTCTCATATTTTCCAGGCTCACAGATGTATACAGAAAGCTGGAAAAAAACACAACAAAACAAGAAAAAAAGTGTCAAATCCTTGGCTTTTAAACTCAAAATCTTCACTTCTTATGCAAGAAGAAAATATTTACAAAGGAAATTTGTTATCCAGTTTTGAACTCTCCACGCCTGCCAAGAGCTCCTGTGAACTGTGCAGGGGGGTAGAAGAAGAGAGGAAGCAAAATGTTAAACCTGTTGAGGGGCCTGCCTCCATTCTGTACTCAGAGTTATTTCAAAGCAGATAAAGGGAGTATTGATTAAAAAAAAAATCCCAAGAGAATTTGGAATATCCAAAAGCAGAGGAAACCAGGTTTGAGAATTCCTTAGACTCTACTCTTGTAGGTATTTCCTATGTTGAGAAGGGTGTGAGTCCTGATGGCATTTTGTAGTGTCCAAGATAATAAAGTCCTAATAAAGATTTCAGGTTTGGCTGGGAGTGCTGGCTCAAGTCTGTAATTTCAGTTCTTTAGGAGGTCAAGGTAAGAGGATCGCTTGAGATCAGGAGTTAGAAATCAGCCTGTATGACATAACAAGATCCCTGTCTCTAACAAAGTTAAAAAGAATTTTGCTAGACGTGTGATGTACGACTATAGTCCTAGCTACTCAGCCGGCTGAGGTGAGAGGGTAGCTTGAGCCCAGGAGCTCAAGGGTATAGTGAGCTAGGATTGTATTACTGCAGTCAGCCTGGATAATAGAGTGGAGTCCTGTATCTAAGAAAACAACAACAACAACAACAAGAATTAGAAGTTTCGGGACTCCAGAGAAAAACTTTCTACTACCTTCAAAGAGGGGGCACAATTAGCGGAAAGAAAGAACCAGTAGACTAAGTAGATTTCTCAGCTATGGTTGTTTGGTGCTATTGCAGATCATGGAGTGACAACACACATGCCAGAGACTGCTAGTGAAAATAGGTGAAAGGACAGAAGCCAGGAAAGGCAGAGGACATCTCAACAGAGACCATGGATCTCAGAGGGAAGCCACAGACAAACATCCTCTCCTGGCCTCCTCTCTCTCCATATAAGCCCCTGAAAGTTAGACACCAGGCTGACAGAAAGAAAAAGGAACATTTTGAATGAAACACATTTAAATTTGAAATGAACAAGAATATTCTGTGATCACATAGGGTGGGGGCTTACTATTCATTTGTTCAATGTATTATTGACCAATGAGCCAGCCACTGTTCTAGATACTTGAGACATACTGAGGACAGAAGGCTATGACCTCATGAATCTTACATTGTGAGTGGGACAGTTGCAGTATTACATATGAGGATCAAAATCGGCCTCATTTTGGAGGTAAGATTAAGCAGACTCTTGATAGAGGTGAGGTGGTTACCTAACCTGAGATTTGGAGAAGGCATTTCAGCAGACAGGGAGCAGGTGGAGCCAGCGTCCTCCTGCAATAGCGCACTAGGAATGTTTAAGGGAAAGTAGACTAGGTGATTAGAAGCAGTAGAAGTGGGCATACAGATAATGGGTGGCAGATCTTTGGGGCTTACAGCTCATTTGACAGAATTCGGCTTTTATTTTGGGTAGAAGAGAACTCCATTTGAGTGTTAATAAAAGGAGAATGATCTGATTTACCTTTATAAAATATCATTCTGCCTTCTGCCATGACTGTAACAGTCCAAGGGGACAAAATGATTGCAATGAGATCAGTTGGGAGGTTATTGCTACAACCCACGCAAGGGATGGTAATAGCCACAGTGAAAGTGAGCACAGTGGTCAGATTCTGGGTATATTTTTAAGGTGGAGACAACACCTTTTCCTGCTGGACTGAGTGAAGGATATGAGAGAAAGGAGGAGTCAAAAGAACTCCAAAGTTTTCTGTCTGGAGTTACTGGAATGTAGTTGAGATCCCCTGAGATGAGGAAGGCTGGCTGTGGGGCAGGCTGAGGTTGCAGAAACGATCAGGAGATTAATCTTGAGCATGTTAACTTTGGAACATCTGATTTGAAATTAAGAAGTCTTCAGCATAGAAATTTTAAAGTCATGGTGCTGAACGGAGGGCTGGTTTCCCATTAATATGTCTGAGTAATCTAACCGACCGTCTTACAGATAACAACCATAAGTTCTAGACAAAATACCAAAAGAATGACTCAAAGGCTATGGGAGTTTACAGTGCAGGTTAATTATAGAGGAAAAATAAAATGCGTAAAAATCATTGGGCAAGATTCTCATTTTATAGCTTTTATCCTGAACACCATCTTCAATAGTTTCTGCAAAGAGAGCCTAAAATCTAATAGAAAGCCTCAAGGTTTTTTGGCCCAAGGAACGAGAAGACAGAATTTGGAGCAACTACAGATAGTAGAAAGTGAATGGAAAACAGAGAGCCAGAAGGGGGAGGCTTAATCTCTGTGAATAAACTATCATGTCTCTGGCTGACACTTGAACCATTCATGTGTGGGAAAGACTTCAGCTAAGAACAACAAAAATGAACTGACATTTGAGCTACCTCTAGAGAGAAAGATTTTGCAGTTTGAGTCCAATTAAATTAACTAATAAAACAAAAATTCCATTCTTTGGAGGAATAAAATAGAATATAGAGTCTCTATAACATTTGCAATGTTCTGAATATAATCTTAACATATAAACAAATCAGGAAAATGTGACCATTCTCAAGAGAAATAAGAACCAGTGGAGGCCAACCCTTAGATGACTCATTGTTAGACTTAGAGGGCAAGGATTTTAAAGTTGCTGTTTTAACTGTGCTTATATTAGTCTGTTCTCACGCTGCTAACAAAGACATACCTGAGACTGGGTAATTTATAAAGGAAAGAGGTCTAATTCACACACAGTTCCAGATGGCTGAGGAGGCTTCACGATCAGGTGAAAGGCAAATGAAGAGCAAAGTCATGTCTTACATGCAGCAGGCAAGAAAGCATGTGCAGGAGAACTCCCTTTTATAAAACCATTGGCTCTCATGGGACTTATTTACTATTACTAGAATAGCATGGGAAAAACTCACCCTCATGATTCAATTACCTCCCACTATGTCCCTCCCATGACACATGGGGATTTTTACAATTCAAGGTGAGATGTGGGTTGGAACACACAGCCAAATCATATCATTCCACTCCTGGCCCCTCCCAAATCTCATATCCTCACATTTCAATCACGCCTTCCTATAGTTCCTATAGTTCCCCAAAGTTAATTCATTCCATCATTAACCCAAAAGTCCACGTCCAAAGTCTCATCTGAGACAAGGCATGTCCCTTCTGCCTATGAATTTGTAAAATCAAAAGCAAGTTAGTTACTTCCTAGATACAATGGGGGTATAGGTATTGCATAAATACAGCTGTTCCAAATGGAAGAAATTAGCAAAAATGAAGGGGCTATAGGTCCCATGCAAGTCTGAAACCCAGCACGACAGTCAAATCTTAAAGCTCCAAAATGATCTCCTTTGACTCCATGTCTCACATCTAGGTCATGCTGATGTGAGAGGTGGGCTTCCATGGCTTGGTCAGCTCTGTCCCTCTAGCTTTGCAGGGTACAGCCTCCATCCTTGCTGCTTTCATGGGCTGGCATTGAGTGTCTGCGGCTTTTCCAGGCCAACAGTGCAAGCTGTTGGTGGATCTACCATTCTGGGGTCTGGAGGATGGTGGCCCTCTTCTCACATGTCCACTGGGGAGTGCCCCGGTGGGCACTTTGTATGGGTGTTCCAACCCTGTATTTCCCATCTACACTGTCCTAGAAGAGATTCTCCATGAGGGCTCTGCCCCTGCAGCACAATTCTGCCTAGACATCCAGGTATTTTCATATATCCTCTGAAATCTAAGTGGAGGTTCCCAAACCTCAATTCTTGACTTCTGTGCACCTGCAGGCTTAACACCATATGGAAACTGCCAAGACTTGGGATTTGCAGCCTCTGAAGCCATGGCCTGAGCTACACCTGGGCCCATTTTAGCCATGCCTGGAGCAGCTGGGGCACAGGGCACCAAGTCCCTAGTCTTCATACAGCAGAGGTGCCCTGGATCTGGCCTCAGGAAATCATTTTTCCCTCCTAGGCTTTCAGGCCTGTGATGGGAGGGGCTGCTGTGAAGTTCTCTGACATGCCCTGGAGACATTTTCCCCATTGTCTTGGTGATTACCATTGGACTCCTTGTTACTTATGCAAATTTCTTCAGCCAGGTTGAATTTCTCCACAGAAAATATATATATTTTTTCAGTCACATCATCAGGCTGCAAATTTTCCAAACTTCTATGCTCTGCTTCCTCTTGAACATTTTGCTGATTATAAATTTCTTCTACCAGATTCCCCAAATCATCTCTCCCAAGTTCAAACTTCCATATATCTCTAGGGAAGGGTCAAAATGCCACCAGCCTCTTTGCAAAAGTAAGCAAGAGTCACCTTTGCTCCAGTTCCCAACAAGTTTCTTGTCTACATCTGTGACAACCTCAACCCATACTTTGTTGCTCATATCACTCTCAGCATTTTTTGTCAAAGCCATTCAACAAGTCTCCAGGAAGTTCCAAACTTTCCCACATATTTCTATCTTCTTCTGAGCCCTCCAAACTTCCAACTTCTGTCTGTTACCTAGTTCTAAAGTCACTTCCACAAAGCAAAGTCATATCTTGCATGTCAGTAGGCAAGAGAGCATGTATAGGGGAACTTCCCTTTGTAAAACCATCAAACATCATGAGACTTATTCACTTTTACAAGAACAGCATGAAAGAAATCCACCCTCATGATTCAGTTACCTCCCTTGTGTAGCTCCCACAATATGTGGGGATTATTAAAACTCAAGGTGAGATCTGGAGCTAAATCATATTAGTGCTCAATGAGGAAAACTAAAGATGCCTATAATGAAAGAATATATAGAAGTTCTTAACAGAAAACATAAAAAAGAAACAAATAAAAATTCTATAACTAAGATACACAGCATCTGAATTAAAGAATTCATTGGGTGGGCTTAACAGTAGCATGGAGATAAGATAGGAAAGAGTCATCGCACTTGAAGAAAGATCAAAAGAAATCATCCAATCTGGTAAAGCTCAAAAATAAAGCTTCAGAAATTTGAACGGAAATTTAAGAATGTAACAGCGAAAGTTGTAACACACGTGCAATTGGAGTCCAGAAGAAGAGGAAGAGAATGAGCCAGAAGAATTAGTCTGGATAAAAATGGCTGAACATTTCCCTGATTTCATGAAAGACTCAATGTCACAGATTCAAGGACCTAACCAAACCCAGATGAAGGTAAACATAAAGCAAACTATAACTGATCTCATTATGGTCAAACATTTGAAAACCAAATGTAAAGGAAAAATCTTGAAAGCAGCAACATAAAAGCGACTCATTACCTACAGGGAAACAGTGATTCACAAAGCCACTGACTTCTAATTAGAAACTATAGACACCCAAAGATGTCGGAATAATGTGTTTAAAGTGCTAACATAAGCAACCTAACTAGATAAGCTCACTAAGGGAGGAGATAGAAAAGAAGAACTGAGAAATTACATAGACATGATCAGAGAGAAAAGAAAAACCAAGAATGGGAGGTGTCCTGGAAAATGTAACTAAAAGGAGAGAATGATTAAATGTGTCAAATGCTGCTGTGGAATCAAGGGCAGAAAGCTGACGATTGGATTGAACAACGTGGAAGTAAATAATAATCCTGGCAGGAACAGTTTTTGTAGAATGGCTTAAAGCTTTGTTGCAGTGGGTTTAGGAGAAAATGAGGAGAAAATAATTGGAAATAATAAGTAAAGGCAACTGAAAGAGTTTTACCTTGCATAGGGAGAAATGAAACGGAGTACTAGTCAATGTAGAGAGTAGGATCAAGAGAAGATTTTGTTTTGTTAGCATGCTAGTTAGCATAATCCTTTAGAGAGCAATATAAAAGTGAAAATATAAGATAAAAAGGAAGCATTGCCCAATATATCAGGTCTGTAGAAGAAAAGATAAAACAAACAGCCAGTTGAACTAAAATAAAAAAAAATTTACACAGGAATATGTAATTTCAGTTCTCATTTCTCCTCTCTATTGTGCAAAGCCCTTTGCTTCCCAGCCTTTACTATTTATAATTTGGTCATTTTCAATGTGATATTTGAAAAGTATGTCTATTAAAATTATGTAAAACTTTATGATTTTGGAGAGTAACTGGTTTGTTCCTTTGTGTTTTTAATTTGTGAACATTCTTTAAACAGTGAACAAATGTATTTCCAAACCTGTTTTTTAAGTTTTAAAAAACTCAGAATGCATCTTTCTAATAATATTTATGTTATACGAGGCAGTTTATTCTGGTCAGTTCATAAAATGGTATAAAGTAGCTGAATTGTATTACTGATTATCTGGGAAGTTTCAGGTGTTCAGTCTTTTATTTCTATGGTAAAACTTATTCCAATTTCCAACCCAACATTCTGGAACCCATCTCCCATTATGAAGTGGGCCTCAGGGTGGGAGTGGAAACAGAGCCTCTTGTTCACATTCCACACCCTCATCTTCCAGCACTGAGGGTAGACTATTAAGGCTCTCATGACATCAAGGGTCAAAGCAATGGCATAATGGAGATTCTAGACATTTGTTTCCTCACCAGTGAAAATCAAATGAAGACCCAGAAATCACTACAGCTACAGGCATGAGAAGGACATTTCAGCAGCTAGACTGTGGTGGTGAGTTCCTGGTTACATGGCTGCTTCTATACAAAAGTGTGCTAAAGTCCTGTTGTGCTGTCTAAGCTTATGTGTACATGTATGTGTGTGTGAACTGGTGGGCTAGTTTCTTTTCTTTTTGGTATACACTGAAGTCTTGTTAGCCTGTAAACCCAACATCTAAAAAATGTCAGTGAATAAGCTTTTGTTCGGATCTCTGCTATTATGAGTAAGAGAGATAAGTGATTATTAAATAAACTAAAAGTAGATTTATTCTCGTTTTATTTTTTAAATTTAATTTGTTAAAAAATTTATTATTATGGGTACATAATAGTTGTATGTATATATGTGGTACATGTGATGTTTAATACAGGCATACAATGTGTAATGTTCAAACTAGAGTAATTGGGATATCCATCATTCAAACTGTTATTATTTTAGAACATTCAATATACATTAAAAATATACATTACATTAGGGTTAACTATAGTTATTCTATTGTGCTACAGAACGCTAGATCTTATTTCTTCTATCAACTGTATTTTTTGTACCCATTAATCATCCTCACTTTATCCCCCAGTTCCTATTACCCTTCCCAGCCTCTGGTAACTGTCATTCCACTCCATCTTCATGAATTCATTTTCTTTTTTTATAGCTACCACATATATGTGATAACATCTTTCTGTGCCTAGCGAACTTCTTTCTTTCTTTCTTTCTTTCTTTCTTTCTTTCTTTCTTTCTTTCTTTCTTTCTTTCTTTCTTTCTCTTTCTTTCTTTCTTTCTTTCTTTCTTTCTTTCTTTCTTTCTTTCTTTCTTTCTTTCTTTCTTTCTTTCTTTCTTTCTTTCCTTCCTTCCTTCCTTTTCTTTCTTTCCTTCTTTCTTTTCTTTTCTTTTCTTTCTTTCTTTCTTTCTTTCTTTCTTTCTTTCTTTCTTTCTTTCTTTCTTTCTTTCTTTCTTTCTTTC